TCAATATATTCTTGTAAATAGGAACTATATAGTTAGATTTTAGAGTTTGAGAGTTGGTTAGTAGATTTTAGTTTGGTTTTTGAGTTGGAACAAGAGATATTTTGGAGAACTATAAGGTACCAGGTACACTTATTAAGATACTTACTTTTATCGCTAGTAATATTAGTATTTTTTGGTGCCTTGTGTGTGTTAATAAATAATTAGCTTATTTCTTTTAATGCTTACGACCCTAAGCTAAATTGGTTCAGTAGATATAAAATCTTTCTCCTGGTTGTAACAATTGTCAAAGAAATTTACGAACTGTTTTTTGGATGATCAGATAACCTGAAAAGCCTGTCAATAAAGTGATAGAATGATCATTATTGTGAAATCAGATGACTTTATCGAATCATATACTTAATTTGTCCTTTTAATGTTTACGAGTTTTTGTATAATAGTCCTTATTGTATCTTGTTTGAAGCAAGTATTTTCAAATTAATATTGTGATAATATATGATTGCTGAAAATAAGTTACTATGATGGGCAAGTTTGCTTTCAAGGCTATTTAATGTTAAGGACTTTTAGTTAGTAGGAAAAGGTATCTTTCTTTTCACTATCGCTCACCTTGTAGGCTAGCTCTATCATCCCACCCTATCTACCCTTTTGCTTAGTGACTCATAAATTAAGGAGGTGCAAAGATTATATGTTTATGATTATGCACCACAACTATTATAGAGTGCAAGGTCTTTCATATTAGTGATTAAATTCTATGGCTTTAGAAGTAGAGACCTAATATTTGACAATTGGACTCTATAGCTGTGATAGTAGTACGATGACCTCATGTTGACGTTTGGATATCGCAGCTACAATAGTAGTGCAAGTCCATATTTGATGCTAGGCTTCGTGACTACGATAGTAGTACAAGAACCCTATGTTGATGTTGAGTGTCATGCTTGCGATAGCGATAGCGGCACAAGAACTTCATATTAATGATTAAGCTCCATAGCTGTGATAACAGTGCAGGACCTCACTTTGGTGATCAGGCTCTGCAGTTACCATATTAGTGCAAAACTATGTTTGATAATTAGGATCCGTGGCTGTGATAACCAGTGTTTGCCATTTTATGTCATATGACCAAAGTGTTCATAATATAATAGTGATAAATTTTAAAAGCAGTATAAAGAAATATAGAAAATATAGTATATGAAATAGTATAGTTATACATTCTATTACTAAGCAAAGACTTACCCAATTTGAATATTTTAAGTTAATTATAATAAGAAATAGAGCAAAAAACAGATTGAATCATAGGAGTAGGATTCAGATATTTTATAATTTCATACTATAGACTAAATAGTAAGCAATCTAGTATAGAAAGATTAATTGTTGAATTTCTAATTTACACATGTATAAATTATAAAACCTTGTCTTTATTTTGTGTAATGGGTTTATTTGGGAAAGCAAAAGTGACAGAGTTCAAAGATTTATGTGGTAAATTATATAATGTGGTGAAAATTTTTATTTATAATTATAATAATTAAATAATAAGACAATTTTCAGACATTGTTTTTTATGGAATCAAATTTTTATTGAGTTAAATTCAAATAGCTAATCTTATTTTAAACAATAACATGATAAGCATAATTATTTTTAATTTTCTATAAAACAAAAAGTCCCGTATAATGCTATAAACAGAACATAAAGTTCATATTATCAATTTCTAATGCTTTTTAACAATTTTAAACACGTTCGAGAATTACAGCAATTCCTGGAAAAAAAAAATTGATGAGCTTATAAAATTTTGATAGTTTTTAGATTAGAAATGGTATATTGTTGGCTTACCTTGACTACCACCAATCAAGCAGATCCAATTGCATATTTTATTTTATTTTTTGGAGTTGATAAGTTAAAGTCCTAAAATGTGTGATTCCGATGCAGCTAAAAGATGTTCAAAAGCAATGGTTACAAGGATAAATCATAAAGTAGATTAATATAGATTTACAAGAATTAAAGTATAAATCTTAAAATCAAAATAAACACTTACTACCTAAGAAGTAAACAAATTTGAAAGATCTAGTTAATACTGTAGTAAGATTCACAAATTTTAGAAATAAATTATATAGCATACAAATATATTTACCACTATTAGCATTAGTGATATTATGATCAAGTCCCAATTCCTTTTTTACAGATAAATATTGAGGAGCAAAGACCTCATTGATTTCCACTAGCCCAATATCCAAAAGTTTAAGATTGGCTCTTTTTAATGCTTCTTTAATTGCTGGTACAGGACCTATTCCTATAATAGTAGGTTCTATACCAGTTACAGAGTAACTAACAATACATGCTAAAGGAACTATTTCATATTCTTTTATAGCATCTTCACTAGCTACAATAATTGCCACTGCACCATCACTAATACCTGATGCATTACACACTGTTACTATACCAGTATCTTTAACAAATATGGAAGGTTGTTTAGATAATGTTTGGATAGTTGTTTGTGAATGCTTATCTCTAGAAAATAATGCAGGGCCTTTTTTTGTTTTGACTTCAACTGGTGTTATCTCATCAAAAAAATATCTAGCAGCTTTAGCTGTAAATATGCAAAATTAGATGAAATTTTTTTTTAAAATAAAAAATTGAAATATAAGATCAAATCAGATAATATGATTACTATCAGCCTAATGTTTTTGACTTAATTTAGCATACTTATCAGCTTGTTCACGAGTAATATTATTTTTTAGCCAAATTTTTTGCAGTGACACCATTGGAGTTCTAGTAGAATATTGATCTACTAAACAAACTACTAAGGAATCTTCAAGTTTTAAATCTAGACCAAATCTGACTTCCCATCTTAGATCGGCTAATAAAGTGTAAAAAGATCTATTCATATTTTCGGTACCAATATTTGAAACCTGATCCGATTTCTTGAACTGCATTAATTACATCTTGAAAACTAGATTTACATAGTCGATTTATAGTTAAAGCTAGTATTTCGATCGGTAGACCAGCCCTTAAACTTACGTGATGAGCTAGATATAGAGCTATATTATCGGTTTGTAAAACATTTCTAAAGAATACTGAATTGATTGAAACTTTTTTTTTAAGACTTGCTATCGCTGCTGATGCTGCGAAAGCTCCTAATTCTGTGGCTTTTTTTAATAATGAAATATGTTAAGGTGAAAAAATTATTTGTAAGAATACTTTATGATTAAATGTTAAAGAATTACTTGTAAAATTCTTTAAGAACCATCAAATGCTCCAAATGCCGTTTTTTTTTTTTAAGTTATCTTTTTAAGGCTGCAGTTTGACAACATAGATGCTACTTAATTAACCAAATACATACTTTTAGCGGCTATAATGTAGACGTTCTGTACCATCTTGTATTACAATACGTTAAAAAATAATGTAAAAGGTTAAAAAATCTTGAGACTAAATTATATCATGTTTAGTTACGCATAAAAATTAAAAAATACATATTACGTACGTACTCAGGGTAGGGATGTTATTTTACGAAATTTTGTGTAATTCTGAACATAATGATAGATATCTATTTGTGCTGGCTAAACTTTTGTAATGTTGGTAAAATTATTATGTGACAATATGTGACAATGCACTATTCAATATAAAGTTTCATTAGTAATTTACATGAAACGTAACAAAATAATTTATATAATACATCTCTAACTCAGGGTTGGTAATTTTATGCTCCATTGAGAAATTTTGCATATTCCAGTTCATTGCTTCATTGAAAATTTTATATTATTTATTTAATAACTAAATTATTTATTGTATTAATATACTAGATTGTTGTCATTGTCAAAATCAGAATACAAAATTCTATTGTAAAATACTAGAGATTCTGATTAATTGAAAAAAATTTTGACAGAATTTTTTAGCAATTGGAAAACTTCTGTTAGTTATCATTAGAGTATACGTAATAGATTATATTCATAATAA